AATTTTACGAGTCTAGAGGATTCGTACAAAGCCTAATAAAGTTAAAGCATGACTGCCGAATTATAAAAAAAAAAAAATAATAATAATATACAATTGCTTCTATAAAATAAATGTTATATTATTTATATAAGTATAAAAAAAAATAAAATAAACTTAGCCCTGATGAATATAACGATATGTATATTATTTAATCCGAAATGCATCTGGTTTCCTTGCAATTCAGAGCGAAATAAGATACCAGTCGGGTTTATTAATGGGTCTACCGACATAACGATATTGGACTTAAAAGTTTCTGATTAGTCTCTGATTTCAAACAGATATTTGGCAGAAATAGGAGACCAATAGGAAATAATTAAGATTAAAATCGATATACCAGTAGGCCGTTAAAATATATCAATAGGTATTTTAATTTATACTGATGAGTATCCAGTTTTCTAGCAATTTCAAGTAAAATAAGATACCAATCGAGTTAATCAATAGATCTACCAAAAAATCGATAATGTACTTGTTTTGTTCCTAAATGTCTATGATTTCAAACAGATATTTGGCAGAAATAAGATACCAATCAGAAAAATTTAGGATCGATTTAAGTTTAGTATCGAAAGACTGGTAGGCCTATACTATATTTCAATAGGTGTCTTAATTTCTCCTAATAACTATCCGGTTTTTTAGCAATTTCGAGTAAATTAAGATATTTATTGTGTTAATCAATAGACCTACCGGCTGTTTGATTTAGAACCTAAATTTTCCCGATTGGTATCTTATTTCCTCCAAATATCTGTTTGAAATCAGATACCAATCGGAGACATTTACGATTTACCAGTCAGTAAACTTCCATATGCATATCAGATTGATATAGGATACCTATCGGTTACCCGGTTGTTACCCGGTATAGTTTCGTTCGACCTGTGCATTCTTCGTTCCAACTTAAGTTGAATCTTGTTCCATCGAATATTTTTGGTGAATTATTCACATTAGTTGAGGTTGAGGTTGAGTCACACTTATTATCTAAGCTACTATCAATATCAGTATAAAATTCATCTCTACTGTATATATTTCCTGAATCACTATCATTATAACATAAGTCATCAAATTCTTGATTTGTATCTGAACTATTATCATTATAACATAAGTCGTCAAATTCTGGATTTATATCTGAACTATTATCATTATAATATAAGTCGTCAGCTTCTGGATTTATATCTGAACTATTATTGTTATAATATAAGTCGTAAGCTTCTGGATTTATATAAGTCGTCAGCTTCTGGATTTATATCTGAACTATTATCGTTATAACATAAGTTGTCAAAATCTTGATTTAAATTCTTTGAATTATAATCATTATAATCTAAGTCGTTAAACTTTTGATTGTGTTGACTATTACTATAATTTTGGTTGTTATACTGTAGGTTACTACTATTAATGTTAAGCTGTTGGTTATTATAGTTTAAACTGCTGCTATCTTGCGAGTTTATATAATTCAAATTATTATTGCTACGATCAAAGCCATTAGGAACATTGTAATCATCTAAATAAGTTTTTTTGGCACGTATATGTATATTATATAATTGCTGCGGTGTACTTTTTCTAAACCTGTTTCTAAGAGCAAACATTCTTCAGACATACGTATAAAAACCTAATTTGGAAACTGTCAAAAAAAAAGATTTGAAAGAAATGAGAAAATAAACCAGTACCAAGGTATACGTATATTTTTTGTGAATTAGGAAAATTTAGATATATATAGTAAGTGGATACGTACGTGTATTTAGTCCAATGCTTAAAGTTATCGTTATTGCTATCGTATATAAAAAATTTGAATATTGAATTTCTTGGCTTTTTTTTGTTGAGTGCACGAAGAAAAGAGCAAAAGAATTTAATTTTTTATTATGCACATTCTCTTTTATACCTTTGATTTTAATCATAATCGTATTGTCATGTGTTAGATAATAAGTTATATGAATAGATCACATGATATACATTGTATATATAATGTGTGTGCATAATTCAGATCATTATTTAAATAATTTGACCTTCTTTTTTTTCACTTGTAATTAAAATGCCACCCAAAAGATCATTAACTAGTAAGTATTGACTTCTGTTTTATAAACTGTCAACTTAGTCTAATTTGGGGTTTTTTTGGGTTGTTTTTTTATAGGCAAACCGGTTACAAGAAGTAAGAATAAAAAAAAAACTATTATACAAATAGAATCAGATACATGTGAGCCTTTAAATGATTTACCAAAACCAAAAAAGCTATGAAAACCGCTCCAAGTAAAGGATAAAGGTAATTAGTGATTTTTTAATTATCTCAAATAATTTAATAATCTGTTTTACAACACATCATATGACAATAAATTCAATTTTATAATAATTACTATATATAATGCTTGTATATTATAATAATGGAGTTTTCTAAAACATTATATTTACTATTATAATTCAAAAAAAAGAAAATTCTGAACCGAATTTGGAAGCGCCTTTAAGATCACTTGCTATTTCAAATCAATCGGAAGAACATTTACAATCTGAAAAATATGCCGAAAGTTATCGAAGTAGCTCTCCTGTAGAACTGTTTTATGAAGATCAGCAAATTCAAAATTGTTCATCTTATGCAGCTAATAAATATCAATATCAAGTGCCATTGCAAACAAATAAGAGACCCAACATTTCAAGTATTCAATCTAAAGAGTCTGTGTTTCCTCAATGTTCTAATAGTTATAGTGAACATCTTTCTGACCATGAAGATGAGACTTCTGAAAATGAATTCTCAGAGGATAAAATATTTTCTTCGCTTAACCAGCACAATTCGAACCTTTTAAATATTCACAATGCTAATTATGTTAACCCTTATTTAGCGATTCAACCAAATAAAGTTTATATGACAATTCCAGCTACAAATAATGAACTCTCTTTTCAAGATGAAGCTCATCTTCTTCGATGGTTATCAACACAGAAAGATCTAGTCCTAGTTGCATTGAATACAATTTGTTCTTCACTATCTATTATATCAAACCAGGCTAGTTATGTACGATTTAACAATTATTAATATTGAATAATAATCATATAATGTTTAAATATAGCGAAATTCTATAAATTATTAATTATAATATATATATATAATAAATAGGTTTCTTCAAATGACTTACCTAATGTGGCTAAAATACTCTCTGAACAATCAAGAATCTTATTTCTATGAACAAGAATGCCTACAAAAAGAACTCGCGCTTCATTGATTAATCATGTTGCTTCTAACCTAGTTAAAACACAATCTAATTGGAAAGAAATATCAAATAAATTGCGACAGGCATTTGAAAATTTTTGTACCACATATAATAATGATATTGCAAAACTGGCAAACCAATTAATTCGAAAAAGAAGGTAAACTTTTATTTTATTTTATTTTTTGTTTTTATACTTGAATTCAATATACCTAATAATGGATAAATATGATTTTTAATATTCAATTATAGTAATCCATCGACCAAGATATAAAAAAGTTCATTGCCGGAACTGTATGGGAAAGGCCACTTAAAAAGCATATCGACGCACTCGATTTTGATGCTTTTAAAAGTCGTCAACCTGAAGTAAAGTCACTTGAAAATTTTATTGCTGCAAGTATCAAAATACACGTAGAATTCTTAATAGCAGAATCTAAAGAAGATCCAGATTATAATTCTATAGTTTTAAATCGTATTAAAGAATTGAATAATACTACTACTAATTTCAAATTTCCAGCTGCAAGTCATCTTCAACATGCTAATCAACTTGAACTTAAAGAAGAATGGGGAAGGTTAAAAAATTAAATCATTACTTTATTGTGCTAATGAGATGATGCTGCTTAAAAAAAAAGTACTGTAAAAACTTCATTATACGTACTAGTGCATCTTACATTGCTTACACAATGCATTTAGATGTTCTAAACTTTATTGCACGACTAAACTTCAATGAATTAAATAATTAAATGATTGAGCTTATAACAAAAGAAAATGCTTAAACAAATTTTAAATAAAATGTTTATTTACCAACTAATGATTGTGCAAAATAATATTAAGTTATATTTATTTTAATGTCAAATAGTTTTCGAAGAGTCATTATACCTAGTAAAAGGTATACAAGTTGATAACGACTTGTATAACGAATTGAGAAATGGAAAAGTGCAATGAGAATATGAATCGAATGACTCACGTGATCATGTGATTGATCGGGGTCGTGGCGGTAAATCGAGGTGTGGGTGGTATGAGTACGATTGGGTACAATAGATACTGTGATCTTCAAATACATAACGATGACGCTAAATTAAGGGTGATTATAGTTAAAGAGTTACACTGAGTATATTAATATAAAAGCTAATGTAAATAAAGAGAATCAGTTAGTCTTTTTGACTAAAAATAAAGAAAATGGATTGTTAAAGTAAAATACCCACGTACTAAGTAGTGCGGTGTGCGTCGTTTGTAAAGGAGTGTATCTGAAGTGCCAAGCGAGACTATATGATAAACTAAAAGCCACCTGAGGTCACTACGGTGATTGTATAACTTTTTGACATTTACTCTCTTTTATTTAATTTAATTTTATACTATATATAAATTAAAGTATTTAATTATTTATAAATAGCTGCGCAAAGGTTGTGGTAAAACAAGGAATAACATAGCAGCAAATTATGTTCAAATTTCAGAAAATTTAAAGGTTTAACAACATTATTTTATAATTTACTATATATCTATATATGAACTTGACCTTAATATTAATATAGTTATATTATTACATTGAATACTAAATATAATAAAGACACGTGCATTCATTTGTTTTAGAAATCCGCAGTTCACTAATTAAAATTCTACAAACCATTGCCCTATAAGAAAAATTTACAGTAATTGTTTAGATCAAGCCCGGATTTTGTACATAAGGGACTCGAATTGGCACGTAATTTTGGTTCATGTTGGACCATATACCAGTGCCAATTAGACCATCACTTTGCTAGCCCAATTTGCACAGGTTTGGTATGGACCCAAAATTTTATTTTTAGTATTATTCTATTATCATTTTATGTACTTCTTATTTTGGTATAGCATATGGGTCAATTGGCGATAATTGCCATTGTTTAATTTTTTTTTGATTGGTTTGACCAATTATTAGGTGATTGTTTTGTTTTATTAAAGGTTTATTCTGTACTATTATGCAACAAGGATATAACAAACTTGCATCAAACCTATTAGATTATCTTAAAACCCATTGGATTATCATCTAATTATTAGCCTGGAGCTACTAAGACGTATTGTTTGACTTTGTTATTGTTATGAGTAAATGTTCAAAATAAACCTTCCGCCTCAGTCTTTTAGACAATTGTATTGTCAAATAAACTGTCCCACTACGTGCATCGAAAATTTGAGGCTCTCTCTTCTGCATAGTGTCGCATATTGGCCCATATGGTTTGTGGTATAGTTGGGTGTTTGAAACAATGAGGAATAATAACCCTCAACGAGGAGTGATTAAAAGCCTTATACAAATTAAAGATATGTAAGAATGTGGTTTCAGTTTATGAAGAGATAATAGTTGTAATAACGGTTGTTAGAATAATTATTAACAATTGTTGATAGTATTAGTATTATGATAATCCGATGTATTGATTTATTTTAATAAAGAAAAACCTTGTAATTATGTGTTAGTTTATCGATTTAAACCATTAGTATAATCCTGTTAAGATATTCATATTTAATATGTAGAATTGTTTATTATTATTGATATAAATATTATAAAATTTTAGCAAATATAATTTAAAATTTATAAGCTAAATATAGTGCTAATAAATTGGTAATATTGTTACAATAATATCACAACATTATTGCTATAAAAAAGCTTTAATGTTTGCTTTTATTGCTGCATATATTGCTAATAAATTCATAATTTATTATATAAATATTACAATATTATTACTTTAAAAAAAGCTTAAATTTTGGTATTTTTTAGATTTAAATTATTGCTAGTAATTTAAAATTTTATGATTAAAACCTAAATTAGTGCTTTAAAAGGTAATAATGTACTAAATAATGCTTATTATTGGCAAATAATTGCATATCTCGAATTTGTTAGATTTTTGCAAAGTATCCAAATAGGTTGATCTTTAGTAGAGGTGGTCACTATAGAAATATTATAAGATTATAATATATAAACATAGTATTTGAGCTAATTTAAGCAAATTTGAGATTAGTTAGGGTTAGGGTAAGGTTATAGTATAGTTTATAGTTAGCTCTAGGGTTAGGGTTAGAGTTTTTTTATATTATAATCTTATTATATTTCTATATTGGCCACCTATGTTAAAGGAGATCTATATAAATATTCCGGTTATTAATGTTAAATATAAAATTGTGTTTTCCGTTTCTGGTTTTGTGCGATACGTCGCACAGCTACCTTATTCTATATAAATTGATTGAGGTTTTTAGAATTCCGCACCGGTACGAGAAATCTAAAAACCACAATCTCCTTATAGAGACCGGTACTTATAACAAGTTATTTCCTAAATTGTTAACATCAATAAAGTGTGTACATAAATATTTTATTGAAGTCGATAATTTAAGAAATATTTGATTTTAACTTTATGGAAGTTGATAATTTAAGAAATATTTGATTAAATGTGCTACTTGATTATGCACCCAGCACCAGAGTTAACGTTAATGTAACGTATAGTTAAGTAGGTATAATTAAGTAGATTAAGTAGCACATTTTTGAAATCAAGCATTTCTTAAATTATCGATTTCAATAAATTAGGAAATAATTTGTTTTACTTGTCGCTATAAGTTTGCACCGATGCAAGAAATTTAAAACTTTAATTTCTTTATATAAGAATTAATGCATAAACTGTAGCGCGAATAAAAATTTCTTAAATTATCAATCTCAATAAAATGAAGGATCTAGAATTCTCATGCCAAGAATAATATGTATTTAATAGCAATTATTCAATGCGTACACGAAGCTTACATATTTTAGTTATCTCCAATGTGTTGGTTAGCCTTTACTTTATATAAAGTTGATTGAGATTTAAAATTTTCTGCACTTTGCGTGCGTACGTACGTACAGTACGTACGGCGCAATAAATCTAAAAACCACAATACACCATATAGAGACAAAATATAAATAGCGAAATTAAATACCATATTCCCTAACTTTATTGAGTTTGACAATGTGTAACTTGATTATAAGTTACATTACAGATAACGCCAAGCAGATATTCAAGTAGCACATGAAATCCAATATTTCTTAAATTATCGACTTCAATAAGTATACTTCATTGATGTGTTTTATAAGTTATAATTGTGGTTTTTGGATTTCTTGCACCGATGCAAGAAACCTAAAGACCACAATTACACTTTGTAGAGACAAATATCGCTCTCAAGCGTCAATCTCAATGTGATTAGTAAGTGATCATAATAGTGCTCAAGCAAAAAATTTTTGCTAAAAATTTGAATACGCAATTTATGATGTAATTGAAATCTTCGCATCAATTTCAATGCAATTAGTAAGTGATCTTACTAGTGCTCATTTATTACGATCAATAAGAAGTCAATATTTGAGCAGTCCCCTATTGATTTCTATTATTTGTCAAATGCCATCGTCAAAAATTAAAAAAAAAACGAAAAATAAAAAATAAAAAAAATAAAAATAAAAAATAAAAAAAAATAAAAAAAATAAAAAAAAATAAAATATAAAGAAAATAACTACATTTATCCGGGAGGAAATTGCCTTCACTAATTATTTTAGGGTTAGGTTTAGAAATTAAGGATAATTTTTTTTTATATATAATATAACATATATTGGATGTAAGTCCCAATTTCAGTTCTCATGAGGTTTTCAGGATCCTGAACATTTTTACTTATAAGACCCGAACCCGTTTATTTAGTACGTTTTTGAGATATAGCACCCCGGGTAATTTCCCCCCTGGTGAAATTAGAAATTCTCAAAATAAAAAACAAAAAAATAAAAAATAAAAAAAAGTAAAAAATAAAAAAAACAAAAGCGTCTATCCAAAAGAAAGTAACAGATGTTACTGATTATCGAAATTCTAATGAAGCATCAACTTCGGTAGTTTCTAGTACTCAATTCGCTGATTTCACCAACTATAATGACGGAATAGTTGAATTCGTTGCCATTTGAGCGAAAGCCAAGAGATGGCAAGTATTTGATATTGTTTCTTGGGCTTCTCGATTTTTTTTTATAAAAACTTTTAATGTGAGAAGTAAATAATAATTCGATACTGTCGAAAATGATGGTCCATGATAAAGCTGCTTGAGTGATCTCTTTGAATACTCTATTGATCGTAAACTTTTCAAAGGCAGGTATAAAAAAAAAGGTGGTCTGTTGTAAAAAGTTTATTGATTAAAATGAAAAATTCATTTAATGTTTTTTTACTAATAAAAAAATCTTTATTACGTAATAAACTTTATTAATTTACGCATATTCATCGTAATGATAAACACGCGTAATTAATTTTAAATATTTTCCGCTAAGTAAAATTTATTCCCAGACACTTTTTGACTCATTGATTGAGGCGCTTGAGACCTATATCTCTTATTGTGAAAAAGATAATTTAAAATTACTAATATCGACATTGACGAAAAATCAAGATAACGAATATTATGGACATCAATCAAGCAAATTACGAATGAAATTTCATCGATAGACAGATTCAAAACTCAGAGAGTACGAATAATAAAAAATTTTTGTTATAATGATACTGCTTTTTTCAATACACAACTTTGAAGATAACGTTAACTGAAAGTTTATTATTGCATACAATAAAGGTAAAAAAAACCACTTAATTTTAAATAAATAATTATAAGGGAAAAAATCTTTAAAATATACAATAATAATATAAAAAGAATTTTGCAAAATATAATAAAATAAACCAGATGACTGAAATTTAATAAGCCAAAAGAAAAATTACTAAATAACTATAGTATCGTATTATCACGTGTTTCGGGTTTATGTTCATATTCTTTATAATAAGTTCCTACCATCAAATCATTACTACCCTCCTCATCTATATATATACCACGTCCTACTAACTCTAAATCTATCTTCTTTTCATATGTCTTTAGTTTATCAAAGTCAGCCTTTTTAGAATCACCATATTTAGTTTCACGTTTAAGCTTTATTTTCCACGTAGTATAAGGGCTAAGCATTAATTCATCATTCCTAATTCTTTCATATGCGCGATTGTTTCTAACTGGCTTTCCTTCTTTATTTTTTTCAAAACTATATTCAATAGATTGTTCATTACTTCTTATCACATAAAACTTTTCGTTATATCTATAATATGAATCACCTAAATGAATCATATAAACGTCAAAATTTTTAAGCTCATTATTAATTTCATCTTGGATTCTATTATCTTTCGATTTAAGTCTGATACCTATCTCATTAAACTTGACAGCACATTTATGATAATCGGTTTTCGTTATATCCGCCTTGACAGTTATCTCTTTTCCAACTAGAAATTCTGATATTTCTTGGCTATAATTATTGTTTTCCCACACAAAAAATGGCTGCGTAGATATATATTCACTATTAAAATCACTATATTTCAAATTATCTATCTCTTTAATTACATATACATTACGTTCTTGAACTTTTAAATGTAGATTTTCTATTTGTTGTATAATGCTTTCAGTATCTTCTTCATCTAATTGTGAATTTAATACATTCGAATATTCATTTGCAAATGGAAATGCCCATTGCTTGAATGCACTTCTAGCTCTTTTAAGATAACCTTTTACAATGCTGGATTTAATTTTTTTTTCTAATTCATGAATATCATTTTTTAAATCTTTATCCTCTATTTCAATAGTCATTGGTGAATTAATATGTGCAATATAGTTGGCAAGATTTATTTGATCATAATATTCCTGTATACGATCATATACATTAATAAGAGTTGTCATCCCTTCATCTAGCTTTTCCATATAACGACTTATTTCTTGTGCTGAAAACCCTTTAGAAATTTGCTGAATTGTATATTTTATATCTTTTAATGAAGTTTGCACTTGCCACTTAGTTAGGTCAAGGTGAACATGCGATTTTTTATCTATTTTCTTTTCTATATTACTAATATCTTCTTGCATACCTTCAATCATAGGAATGATAGTTTTATAAATATTTTTTTCATGCTGGTTTAATAGGTTAATATCATCTTCTGCTTGCTTAATTGATTTACTAACTGCATCAAGTTCTTTTTTATCATTTTGATATCTGTCATACAGGTCAACTGCCACTGCAGTATCTTGAATCGCAATCGTAAACTCCTTTATTACATCTGATTCGATTCCTGTTGTTAAGTTTAATTTTTCTTGTGCCTTTCCTATTTCATCTTTTATTTCATTCACTATTTTCGTTATTTTTGTAGAATTAATATTACCTAATGCTTTTTGGATTTTATCTAAATGTTCTTTTATATTAAGATTCGGATAGTTATCATATTTTAGAGATAATATTTTTATTTGTTGTTCTGCATTTTTTAGTTCGTTTTTTTCAATTTCTTCACCTCTCATCTTAATTTCTTCATCTTTAATTTCTTTACCTTTAATTTTAATTTCTTTATCTTCAGCTCTAATTTCTTCATTATTAAACATAATTTCTTTTGATTTAATTATTATTTTCATTTGATTTACAGAATCTCTTACTTCTGAAGGAATTTCAAATTTTGACGTACTATTATCATCCTTTGAAACATATGCTCCGGCCATACTGGCCCCCTTTTTTATTATATTACCAGCTATTCCAACTGGTCCACCAACAACGCTTATTGTAACGCCTATACATTTTAAAATTGTAAATGCTTTTTTCAATGCTAATTTTTTTCTTAATTCACGTTGCCTTTCTTCTAAGGTTAGTTTATTTTCTTCAACGTTATTTATCAAGTCTTTTGTTTCATCAATTAAGGAAATTATTTGTTCATTTATCTCATTAACTATTTTATTTATTTCAGATTTAACCTGATTTTTAGCAATATTATAAGCCTCTTCGATTTTCTTCTCAATTGTCTTTTCATATTGAGTGCTATATTTATCTACTTCTACTTGTTTATTTGCTTTTTTTAATAATTTAATACCGCTTTGAATCATTTTGAAATATTCATTTATATCAATTATTAAATTAGATTTTGATTCAAATTTTAAATTGCTAATTTTGCTAAGAGTATATGTATATAAATAGCCAAATATTTTTTTATCTTCTTTTGAATGAGGATTTTCTGGATTTTCTGCATATTTTTCAAGTTGCTTTAGAAAAAACTGATAAAAAGGAATAAAATCAATATTATTCAATTTATTGGATTGCTTTTCTAAATTTTTTAACTTGTTAACTAGCCCTCGAGTAGTACTGTAACTATCTTTAAACCTAGAATAATCGTCCAATTGAATATTATCCAACTCATCAAAAAAATCGTTTATAAATTCTGATTGAAGGCCCATTCTGTTTTTTAAAAAATTAAAACTTTCAACTTGACAAGAAATTGCGGCTATATGTAATAATGTACAACCATATTTATTTTTAGAATTAATAAGATCTAAATCCTGTTCTAGTAGAATCTTAGTAATTTCTATATGACCATTCCACACTGATTCATATATTGCAGGCTCATTATTATTGTCGATAGCTTTAACCAAATCTTTGTCTAGTCTGATTAAATATATTATATCACTTTCACGACCTTCAAGTGCTGCCCAATGTAGTGGGTTTCTATTCTTTTCATCAGTGATACTATTGAATTTTGCTCCATTTTCAAATAAAACTTTAACCGCTTCAATATCCTCTTTTCCAGCAGTATAATGTAATGTTAAATTATCGACAATTGTTTCTTCTAATAGTAACTTGATAACAGTTTTATAATTTCTTTTTGCAGCAAAATAAATATGATTGAAAAGCTGATAGTTAAAATAATCAATTTGTGCTTCTACTTCTAATAAATATTTGACTACATCTGTTTGCTTATGTTTTGCGGCCAAGTTTAATATTTTTTCTTTATCAATAATATCATCAGCATATTTCATTCGGGTTAATAAAGTTTTGGAAACTTCTAAATGTCCTGCTGCTGCAGCCTTGTGTAAAGCTGTTTCATCATTATTATTTTTATGTTTAACATAAGCATTATTCGATATCAAAATGTCAATAATATTTTTATGACCTGCTTCCGCTGCATAAAATAATGGCGTACAATTATTGTGATCACAAGCATTAACATGATTTTTTGCCAAAATTTTAACAACCGTTTCATCATCTTGTTCTGCAGCTAAGTGCAGAGCTGTTCTACCTTTGTTATCATCAGCTTCAACTTTAGCTCCATGATCTATCAAGGTCTTGACAATAAATCCATATCTATTTTTTGCAGCCCAATGTAATGTTGTTTTACCATTTTCATCAGTATCATTAACCTTAGCTTTGTATGTTTTGATTGTATAAGTAAAATCACTCTGAATTTTCTTACTATTAAATATTCACATTAAAGATTATTTTAATATTAGTATAGTATAGGTCAATTCTAAATTGAACAAATAATAAAAATAATCGATCTTACATGCTAGTAATTAACACAATCAATTAGATTGTTATTAATTGATATTTAAATTCCACTTGAACGAATAAAAAATACATAATAGAACTTACTCCCTAATAGTTAATATACGTAAATGCTAATTAACAATAATATTTAAATTCTAATTATCAAATGAATATGCGTAATGAACCTACCTCCTAGTGGATATAATTGATCAAAAATATTATTTAACATTATTTAATATTTATCGTTTGCAAATTTCTGTAGTGGTGATCATCACTAACACAATCGATTATGATTGTGTAAAATAATCTTTAGGATTAAATTGTGATCAATCCCTATGATAATCGATCAGAACTCAATCCAAAAGATCATTTGATGTTCCTATACTTAATAGAAGAATACATCTCTACCGAAATCACAATTGTGAGAGAGTTGATCATCACCAAGTTGCAGAATTTTGCAAACCGCGATAATAAATAAATATAAGTAATCGAACTTACGGCCTAGTAAGTAATACAATTAATTAAATATATTATTTAGCATTATTTCACTAATTGATATTTAAATTATAATTTATAAATGAATTACGTAATCAAACTTACGTTCTAGTGATTAATATAATTGATCTTATCGTTAATAATCTTTAAATTTTAATTTGACAAATGACATATAATCGAACTTACGATCTAGTAATTAATATAATCAAAATTTTATTTAGTACTAATTGATATTTAAATACTAACTTAACAAAATTATGTAGTCAATCATACCCTCTAATGTTTTATAATGATCAAAATATTATTTAGTACTAATGGATATTTAAATTCTAAACAAAATTATGTAATCTACTTACTCTCTAATAATTAATGTAATCGATAAAAATATTATTCAGTACTAATTGGCATTTAAATTCTAATTTAATATTTAAAATTACTTACTCTCTAATAGATGAAAATGATCAAATATTATTTAGCACTAAAATATTTAAATTCTAATTTAACAAATTACATAGACAGACTTACCCTCTAGTAGTCATTATAATCGATAAAAAATATTATTTAGCACTAATAAATAATTCGAAAAATGATTATATTTAATCGAACTTACAAACTGATAGTTAATATAATTGATCAAAATATTATTTAGCAATTATTTTTTTTTAATTTTTACTTTAGCAATTGAAATTATATCAAACTTACTCCCTTTAATTAGAATAATCGATAAAATATTATTAGTACTAATAATATTTAAATTCTAATTTAACATAAAATATATATAATTGAACTTACTTCCTAATGATTGATTAAATATTAACCATCAGATATTATTTAGTACTAATTGATATTTAATTTCTGTTTCAAAAAATGAATATATGTAATCGAACTTACGCCCTAGTAATTAAACAATTGACCAAAATATTATTCAATACTAATAATATTTGAACTTTAATTAACAAGCAAATATATGTGGTCGAACTTACGCCCTAGTAATTAATATAATTAACAAAATGTTACTTAGTCCAGTAATATTTAAATTCAAAGTTTAACAAATGAATATTTGTAACCGAATTACCATCTGTTAGTTGATATAATCAATCAAAATATTATTTAGTATTAGTTGATATTTAAATTATAATTTAATAAATGAATAAACGTAATTAAACTTACGTTCTAGTAATTAATTTAATTGATAAAATATTATTTAGCTCAAATAATATTTTTTAAATTCTAATTTAACAAATGAATATACGTAATCAAACTTACCCTCTAGTAATAATAATATAGGTAAAAAATATTAGTTAGAACCAATTATATTTAAATGCTTATTTAGCAATTATTAATAAATACATATGTAATCAAACTTACATCCTAATGGTAATGTAATCGACCAAAAAGTTCTTTAGCATTAATGGTATTTTATGTTTAATTTAATAACGAATATATGTATCCAAACTTACTTCCTAATTGTTAAGATAATCAAATATTATTTAGCACTAATAGTATTTTATGTTTAAATAATAAACGAATATATATGTAATCAAACTTACTTCCTAATGGTTAATATAATCGATCAAAATATTATTTAGCACTCAATTATATTAAATTTTTAATTTAATATATGAATATATGTAATCAAACCTACCTCCTAGTTATAGTTGATAATTATTTTGGTTCTAATTAGCATTAATTCTAACCTAACAAAAAATATTCATAATCGAACTTACTCTCTAGATGTAGGTAATAATCGATCAAAATATTATTAGCATTAAGTTTTGTAGTTCATTCATCACATGATTATACAAAGCGTCACGTCGTGGCAAATTCAAAATCTAAATAGTTCAATTTTTTTAAAAATTAAGATATCATGGAATGATTCGAGAAATTTAATTCATTTTCAAGTCCTTCAAACCTATAAAATTTGAAATTGCCCTTGAACATTGCAAATATTAATTACTTCTGCAATAGTGTTAAATTTAAAATTATTGACGAATTTAACGGAAATATCTCAGGAATAATCTATCCACTTATGATATTAAGAGCAATTTCGAATCTAGAATTAGAAATTGTGTTTGAATGCTGAAATTTACCAGATATATCTTATAAGGTAAAAAGGGTATTTTGACGAAGTTAAAGTAGGTAATATATTATTTTTAATTTATTGATTTATTCAAATACTATATATAATACTAAAAATTCTATAAAGACAGTAATGTAACGAATTGTTTTGGACGATAGCAACTGGGTTTAAAATTGTAATTTCAGAAGGGGTATGGGTATTTTGACAAACTTCATGATACAACGATCAGAAAAATCGAAATGTTTTTTTTTTTTACCATTCGATTCGTCGATTCAAATGGTTGTTAAACCTTCAATTCTAATCACTGGATCACGAAAATCACCGTCTAATAACCAAGTTAGAATTCCTTAAGGATTGTTTTTGTGCTGTACTTAATTAATGGCATCTCACGATCCAGTTATTAAACTGAATGATTTAATTACCACCCGAATCGTTTCGTCGAGACGATTCGATTAATAAAAAATTCATTCGATTCTGATCATTGAATCATGAGGCATCTAAATTCATCAAAATACCCTCTTTCGTCAAATATCATTAATTTTTGAAAATTTAACCGATTTCAAATTTTGATTTTTCGCGACGTACGAGTTGTGTAGCCGAATATTTTCATGCTATGCAAAGTCTAACTTTATAAATGAATATTTATTATCGAACTTACATCCTATATAATAATATAATCAAACAAAAACATATTTAGCACTAGTGAAACGTAAATTCTAATTTAACAAATAACCATACAAATTATCAAACTTACGCTCTAGTAATTAATATAATCATTCGGAATATTATTCAGCTCTAATGATATTTAAATTATAATTTAACAAATAAATATATATGCAATCAAACTTACTTCCTAGTAATTAATATAATGTATTAGTACCAATGATATTTAAATTCTAATTTGGAAATAAAAACTATGTAATTGAACTTACTCTCTAGTAGTCAATATAATCAATCAATATATTATTTACAGAATAGTTAAATTTTAATTTAGATAATAAATATACGCACAGCATGCCAATTAATTCTATTCCTATAAAAATTTTTTAGATATATATCGATTAGACTGCAATTTATTACATATCAATTTTATGCAGACCTCCAAATTCTTCTTCTTCAAGCAAATTATTTGTCATTTTTTGCATACTTCCAAATTCTTCTTCAAATGAATTATTCGACATTTCTTGCAGACCTTCAAATTCTTCAAGTGAATTATTTGACATTTTTATTCATATTTTGGATTTGTATTTTTTTTCTACTAATATAATTTTTCTTAATGTTATTAAATCAAAGAGAAACAATCGTAAGAGAGAAAAAGGGAGATACAAAAAAATAGAGTTAATATTTGGATTTATACGAATTTAATCATTAGATCCGGATTTAGCCATTAGATCTGTATATATCGATATTAGATTTAAATATGCTAAGTGGATATCATTGTTAAATCAGGATCTTTTAATTAAATCCAGATATAAAAATCTAATTATCATATAGTGACGTAATATCCTGGACGATCAGTACGAAAAAGGATGAGATACATGTCAAGAACACATGCGTGGCGCAAAGAAATAGGCAAGTATGGTTAAAGCATATGACGGCGTAAAAGATAAAATGGTAGAGGATGCCGGACTCGAGAGGGCCTTTTAGTGCTTGAACTGCAAACCTCATGAGAAGGAAGACCCATTCTATCATTCTCCTCTTATAGCCGGCTTGCTTCGGCGGACGGCCATTTCCTACGGTGACTCCCAGTAATCACGATTGTTAATTAGCTTTACGGCTGTTTTCACAAATTCAGTGACAGTTACCGAATAAACAAGTTACCGAGTCGAATCAATAAGTTACCACCGCCATTCAACAAGATGATTTTCGAGACGCTTTCTATTCTGATTTGGCCCGGAGACACGGTACTACCAAAATTTTGCGCCATCATTACGTCACTCTTATTAATAGTAATACGGGGCTGACTCGATAGGCAAAATACATGCAGCTAAAATAGGAACGTTAAGTGGTCTATGGTCCAGGGGAGACCGTCCCAAATATGGAATTGATTACCTGAGTCACCCGAATGTTACACAATTGATAAACAATTTTTTTTTATACGTTTTACAATACTTTTTTTTTAAAACACTCGGGTAGCTTAACATTTTACAAACCGTAAAAAATACAACGGATGAATTTATGCTTTTGCTTCGCCGTATGTCATATTCTTTTAATCCCTGTTAATCCCACAACTTTTTTCTTGCAACCTGATTGGCTAACATACAGGTGACTTAGATATGATTGGCTAATGCATAATATCGGAGTGATTTCCATATTTGGGACGGTCTCCCCTGGAGGTCTATGGGGGGAACGGGTTCGTGCGTACGTACCACATACGTACGTTGTAAGGGGCTCCTGTGGCCCCCTAATTTATTTTTTTATTTATTTATTCTTTTTCTTACTATTTTGTAACATTGTACCGGTTACGTTCTAAAATGTAAGCTTAGCATAACTAGCCACTATAGTAATGACGTAAATTAGTAAGATTATAACCTCGATACCTATTTTGGAAGGATCGAAGGTCATGAAGATTACGAAAGTGAAATAAATGAAATTTATTTCATTTATTTCATTTCCTTCACCTTTTCAATGAAGAAAACTTGTTGGCATATGCAAACTAGTTGCTGAGCCATTAAATCCGTAGCAATTTAAAAACTATATAATACGATGTCTTTCATAAAAAATAAAGAGATCTCCAGTAAGGAGTATTTAGATATATCTAGCTAATGCTAGTTACATTTCACGCATATAATTACTCACATTCGTTTTCTCAATTTCCCGATAATAAATTATCTCGTAACCACATGATCCCGAATTAGAGCTTCGTGACGTAGTCTAGAGCTCTATTTGGCCCTAATAACTCGGACCAAGTCTTTCCACGCCCTCTTTCGTGCCCTCCACCATTAGGGTCAGATAGGGTTGGACGCAATTTGGTGGTATTGTGTATTGATTTTGACTAGTTTAGGTTAGATAGATCTCCGTGAGACCATATTTCGATCGTAGGGGTCGATTTAGCCCCTTACAACGTACGTACGTACGTGGTCCGGTCCGGGACTGGTCCAAAAACAAGTCCAGGTCTCACATGATGTATATTGAGTGTCAATTTGACGATTTAATATGGTATGAATCAAGAACAATGCATTTTAAATGATGATAACTTCACAGGGATTTTACCCGATATAGAAATTAATCTGCAATATATTAAAAGGTTTTTCTAAAACTAATTTCAAAAAAACGTTTTTTATTATCTGAAAATAACAATCATTTTTAAAAAAAACTTATATAATATTTTTGCAAAGTCATTGGTTAAAAACACATTTTTTAACTCAGTTATTTTCTGGTACAAATAATAACTTATTTACTTTGTAGCTTAATATATTTTAGCTAACATGCTTAAATATATATATTACCTAGTAATTATATAGTAAATAAGAGTAAATAAGTTATTATTTGTACTAGAAATAACTAGTTATTATCTAGTTAAAAAATGATTTTTTAGCCAGTAAGTTATTTTAACAGTAATAAAAGTTGGAATATGAAAAACAAATATAAATACTTTTTTTTAAAAAAAAACATGCTAATATAGTAATACTAGCAAAACAAATATAGTTATTATGAAATTTAATAATTAGAATATTTTTAATATAATTATATCAGGCTATAATATTACTAGCTTGAATTTTCTTTAATTAATAACAATTATTTTTAATTTATATTTTTTAATTTATTATATTTTTTAATTTATATTTTTAAATTACAAAAATTTTAATAAAAACTATGTCAGACCTCTATAAATGCAACCTCTCTAAATATATATCTATATAAAATCTCTAAATGCATACCTTTTTTTGGCCCATCTTAATATAACACTTATAGATTTTTATTTCTCTAAATGCATAACCTCTCTAAATGCATGTTTTTAAAATTTTTTACTATGGTCCTGATACTATGCATTTAGAAAAGTCTGACTGTATAATTATATTAAATATAAATATCTTTTTTTTTTGTTTAATTTTCTTTTATTAAATTTTTTTGTTATGTTTTTTGTTTATTAAGTATATATTTGTTTAGTCTAATACAATATTTTTATTTTTTGTAAATATAAAAAATATTTTTTTGCAAAAATTTAAATTTTTATAGAATTTTTCTATGTATTAATTATTATATATTTTAATAACAATCTTAAACACTTAAAAAATTTTAAATTAAATTTAATAAATTCAATAATACTAAACAAAATTCTAAATATTGTAAAAATATGTATTTATTTTAAAGTTATTTTAAACTAACTTTAAACAAAAACAAATCTATTACAAGCTATATAAAACAAATTATAAATTAAAACCTAAAAGTAATTATAATTAATTATTATTTTAAAATTAATTATATTGTTAACATGCTCTTCTAGTTACATTACTAGACAGGAAAATTAGACTATATAAACAAAATATAAATAAAAATCTAGTATTATACTTTTAAGAAAATAATTACATATTAATTTTTAGATAAAAGCAATATATATATTATTCAAGAAAATTTGCAATTTAATAATTATTACAAGATGATAATATTTTAAAAATATTCTAAATAAATAGAATATGACATACGGCGAAGCAAAAGCATAAATTCATCCGTTGTATTTTTTACGGTTTGTAAAATGTTAAGCTACC